CCGTTACTCACCAATGGTGTCAAGGCCGCTGGGCCGGATAGGCAGGATTGGGTGGATACCATGCCCATCGGGGACATATTCGTGAATGTCATGCTGAAGGCCTGGGATGCGCAGAGGGGCAAACGGAGGGAGAGTCAGACTCCGAGGTGTGTCGCGTTTTACTAATGTTGCTGACTGGAAGCTGATGCCTGTGAACTGCGAAGGGCACTTCTTAGCGTGCTCGGCCGGAAATACGACCAGTACCTTGATTTTGCCCAGCAAGACGCGCACGAATTTATGCGAATTCTCCTCGATGCTATGCGAATGGAGGAGCTCGATGTATGTATGCGTCCTTCCATTTACATTTTTCTAAATGGAATACAGGCTATAAAGAAACGGCAGCCGCCACCGCCGCCCGAGAGGGCCAAGAGACGCCGCAGACGGACGCTGACCCCGTCCAACCATAAGCATGATGACGACGACAAGCTGTTATCTCTTCCTGACATGATTTTCGGGGGCAAGCTTACGAGCGTTCTGGTTTGTCAGAAATGCAAGCACGTATCACAGACATACGAGGACTTCAATGATCTCAGTCTCAGTATCAAACCGGAAGACTACGCAAAGGAGCGCAAACGCGACCGACTAAGGAACCTAGCGAAACGGCTGACTCCTGTATTCCCTGCGGCGTCTAATCTCGGTGTGGACAAGGCATCAGGGCACCGCTCATCGTCAGCACCGCCAAGCCCTAGGGAACCGGAGCATGACGAGCCTCCCATAGCAGACGATCCTCGGCGTAGAAGTATGGATGCCTTAGCGGAACCGCCTGCGGAGCCACATGTAGACGATGAAACAGTGAAAGATCCGACGGTTTCCGAGGGTGAGAAGCGACTTGAATTTGCAGACCTACCGAAGCCGGAGAGGAAGGATAAAGGCAAAGATGACGGATGGGTCAAGCTGGGCCGCCGATTTAGTGTCAGTGTCGGGTTAGCCAAGGCCGCCAAAGAGCGCAAGAGCAGGTCGAGAGAGAGACGCTCCAGTCACGACTTTTCACGTCCGGGTACACCATCTGCGTCGGCCAGCGAGGACGTGTCTTCTTCTGAAGGGAGGCCGAGCTTTTCTGAAGCATCTTCCATTCGTCTCACCAAGCTGGAACACCCAGACGCGCGAAAATCACCGCGTGTCCGTGCGCTCTCTCCCCTCCATGTCATCGCAACGCCATCCTCCAAGACGTCCAGTACGACGTCCATCCCTCGCTTTGTCAACATCAGTCGAAGCAAATCTCCCAAGCCTCCCAAGCCATCTCGAGCCGAGCAAGCGTATCTGCGAAAGATTCTAGCAGATGTCACGTACCAATCTGCGCCCAACCCCTTTGCTCTCCTCAATCATCTCAATGGATCGTCTTCGAGTTCTCATCACCATTCCAGTCATACGTCGCAGCATATGTGGTTGAAAATAGGACAACTACTAGGCATTGAGGACTGTCTAAAAATGTTCACTGCAGTAGAAATCCTTGACGGGGAGAATATGGTCGGCTGCAGACGATGTTGGAAGATCGCGAATGGGCTATACAAACCCAGTTCAAAGCGCGATGAAGGGGATGGCGACTCGGACAGCCTTAACAACCGTGAATTGCCACCACGTCAGGAGCCCAGGCCGCGGACGCCGTCCTCAGAGACATCTACGAGCGATCTGCCAACATCTCTATCAAGTCCGAATATCCCGCTATACTCTCATTCAGACTTCAGCAACACTGCAGAGTCCATCGTATCATTGCCTACGATTCCGTCGGAATCTGTCGTGGGTCTAAAACACACTCCGTCCCCACTAACCCTTACCAGTATCAACGGTATCTATACCCCTGGTGGACTGCCAATTCCGTCAATAGCGACGACAGAGCCACCGGGATCTGACGATACTCCCTCGGTCCCCTCAGACTCGGACGATAGCCCAAACGATTCATCCTTTCCTAATGGCAACGGCAATACCCCTTCCAACGATATACCCCAAGCGGACATATACGCCTCAAACGACTCTCTTTTGCCCGCGCCTACGTACCGCCAGTATCATGGCCGGCGAAGTCTGGATGCTTCCGACGATAGTTCCGATGGCGGTGATAGCGAAGCTACGTCCGGAGAGTCTGGGTCTGTCCCGAAGGCCGCCGTTAAGAAAAAGCCAAAACCCGTCATCATGCGCCCCGCATACAAGCGGTACCTCATCGCGACACCTCCGCCTGTCCTCGTCGTCCATCTGAAACGCTTCCAGCAGATCTCTAAGACGACCATGATATCCTTTTCAAACGGCTTTAAGAAATTGGATGATTATGTGACGTTTCCCGAGGTCTTGGATCTGACGCCTTTTCTTGCGCCCAAGAGGGAGGATTTCTTTGATCGAGGGAGCAAGCCACACACAAAAGAGGTGGAGAGATGTTTATATCGCTTGTATGCGGTGGTGGTGCACATTGGTAGCATGGTGAGTTATATCTGTGCCCGGGAAACGAAATACCGACCGCGATTATAGCTGGGGGGCCATTATGTCGCTTATACTGCCCTTCCAAATTCGAGTCCTGGGGAGGACAGTCTGAAGACGCCCACTTCTGCCAATTCCAATCCTCAAAAACCGCATAGACAGTGGGCCTACATTAGTGATACGATTGTTCGATTGACGACCTTGGAAGAAGTGCTCAAGGCCAAGGCGTACATATGCATGTACGAGAGGATATGACCTGTTGTTTGCATAGCTAACTTATTATCTTTTCGGACTGTTCATGTAAGTAACAATTGTAACATAATAGAAGGATGTGATGTAGCTGAAAGACGACAATGGGTGCACGCTGTCTTCTTTCTGTTAATGTTGTAGGTCCATGACTGACAGTTTCTCAAGGTAACATGACCGGGTGGTGTATCGCGGTGGCAAACCCCTTCGAGGTTCACAGATAGCTTCTCTTTGGCACATTTCCTTTCATCTTTGGTGCTCACGCTTGTACGTTTGTGGGACATTGGGTTAAAGGTTGATTTCCTTTACGAATATGGTTCTTGACCTGTGTTTATACTTCCGCGGAATTTTTTCCGTGCTGAGACATGGGCGTCATTCACATCCGAAGACACACGGGACGCTCATTCTGGTATTGCTACTCGATGAATGATGGCTAACGCTATCGAATCGGCCTTCGTCGGGGCCTATCTTTCAACTTTTCTGTACGGTATGCATGTTTATCCTCACCCTGGTGTTCTGCGCTGAACATTTTCTACAGGCGCGTATATAGTGATCGCTTACCATTGCAGCCTTGTTATGTATCACCGCTACAAAACGAAACGACTGCACATGTACCTCCTAGGCACTCATATTGCACTCTTTCTTCTCATAAATCTGGTTTGTTCCTGTCTAATAGGCTTCCGTCAACGACTAACCGGAGATGTTTCAGCGCTGCATGACAACTATCATCCGCACTCTGTATGGTATAACGCACCAAGAGCCGGATGGTACAATCAACATACACCCGCTTTGGTCGAGCTGGAGCCTCGTTGAAAATTCGGCATGGGTTCTGACCATCCTTGTGGCTGATGCCTTCCTTGTAAGATCTAACATCTTTTTGGGAGGCTGATACTCACGGAGATAGATTTATCGCACGTTCCTCGTCTGGATGAACAAGTGTACTGTAGTTTTTGTTCCTCTGTTACTCTTCGCTGCGGATGCCGGTAAGGAGTACCGTTTGCCGCGGTGTATTCGTTCAAACGCCATCGGCAGGCACTGGCATTTACTTGCTAGTCATTCTTGCAAAATCCACAACAACGCTTCACCGGCAGCTCAATGCCAACAGATACTTCGGTATTATGACACTGGTTGTTAACGTTGTATGTACCGGTAAGTATCCTCAGTCGACACATCGTGCCATTTCTGAAGCTCGTCTCGCTGAATAGCTCTCATTTCCTACCGCATTTGGACCGTACGTCGCAATGTATCTAGGACAAGACTAGGTGCCGATCCATTGACTGGTGTTATAGCGCTCGTTGTAGAGTCTGGTCAGTCGAAATAAGTGTTTCCATGCCGTATTAACAATCGCTCTATTAGCCGCTGTTTACACTGTCCTACTCATTTGCCTTATTATCACCCTGGGTTTAGGAAGCTTCATTTACTATGTGCTCTTTGACATACAAGCTGCTGTTGTCGGCATCGTTGTACGTGTCCTTGACTCAGCACCAACCTCAACTAACATAATTCTCTTTAGTTTTCCATGATCATTATTCGCGTCAGCCAGGGTCAAGCTCACGGTGACAGTACGGGCGCAGCAGCTAGCAGCGGTGCTATAAGATGGCAAGGTTCCGCTGATGTCACGAATCCTCCCGGGGAAGAAACTTGTACCAATCTGGAGGTCAGGCTTGAGACACTGCACAACGATGATGTCGAAGCTCCGCATGCGGACTTGAAAACGTCCAACGAGACTGATCATGAATCTGCAGTCCTAACAACATGCAAACCGTAATTTCTCTTATAGACCTTATCAATAATCTCAAATGAGCCCTTTGCGCTTAGAATATGGTTTCGATATTACTGTTTCAGTGATATAGCGTTTCCCACCTGTATTAATGCTATGTTCACTAAATTTGGGGTTCTACGATATTGAGGGCTAACTGGTCACCTGTATCTATAGTACATTGCGTCAAATACGCAGAATCATTGCCAAATCTGTGGTTGGGGATGCCGCGTCAAGCTCCCGGATATGCTTGAGGGCGAGGTATCGTTGTCCACCGAGCAGGCGCTGTGCAACGAAAAGGTGAAGTGGGCATATAATATCTTGATCTACCGGGAAGAGAAACCGGGTCACAACGAGGAGGGTCCGATGCTTATTAGCGGGGAGGGCTCAACGTTCCCCGAGATGTAATTGAAATACAGTATAACATTGGGGCAGGTAATTACTCTTGACTCTTGGGTTTTAGCTCTTTGTCATTTGAGTCCAAAGTTCAACGCTTGCAACTTCGAAGTTCATTGCTTCATTAAAATTTCAGTTTCATAAAAAAGGAGATTGATAACAGTGAGGTTCGAACTCACGCCCCGGAGGACTGGATTACGTAAGCGATCGATCGATCGATCGCCAACCTAATTCCAGCGCCTTAGACCACTCGGCCATGTTACCATATAGTCCTAATCCTACTGGATAGTATAAACATCGGCTCAGAACAGATACTCCGCACCACGACTATCAATGTTACTGGAGAATCTAGGGGATGGTGGATGCGCCGCTGAACAAGTCGCCATGTCAATTGGAGGCTGGTGTGCTTAGAACTGAAAAAACGAACCGATACAATCCAGCAATCACCGTGACAAGGATGGGCCTGGCATTTCAGAGTGAGTTCCTGGCCGCTTTCCAAGCTTAAATCCTGAATTATTGTGGTTCAAATTGAATACAAGCTGCCCGTGATGCGCGGAGCCCAAAATGATACTGATATTGTTATATCTCCGAAGACGTTGTACATATACACACTGTGAAAGCAAAGAAAAAAAAGATCAATAAAAGGGCACACGTCGACAAAAGCCAGTGTCTCACAGGGAGAAGCCATCGCCCTAACTTCAAGGCAGGTGCCACAGGTAAAAATGTTCCTCAGATGGTGGGTTCCACTTCTCAAACCGCATCTCAAAGTCGCCTCCATTGGTAGCTCGGATATCCTCTTCCAGGTAATACTTATACTTATCCTGCATAAGCTGTACTTCAACCAATTTCAGCAGTCCTCCATCACGGCGGGAGCGCACCATGCGGAGTATGGTAGCACACTCGTCCTGTGAAGGCTGTGATACACACAGAATGAGATGTTGTAGCTTAGGTAGGACAGAGGGAGAGGTGAGGGCCTCGACAATGCCATTGATCATTCGTGGAGGAAGCCCGAGTTTAAGGCGAGAAATGGTAGAACACGCCTCCAATGTGAACATTCTACTAGGTATAGCCGACGTGAATATTTCGGCGCTGACGCTCAAACTCTCAAGATGACATCTCGATCGATGAAGGAAACGGGTGATGGATTCTTGTGCGGAGAGCGTGTGGGATCCTTGTGGGAGATAGTTAATGGTCAAACTGCTGAGGAGAGGTGCAGATAGGACGTTGAGAATATCCACATCCATGACATAGAGGTGACTGAGCTGTGCCACTGTAACCACTGACGCATCCTTTGGGGACGGCGTTATCCGAAGGTGACATCTTCTGAGCTTCGGTAGTTGGGAAAGCAGGTGTAAATCTTCCGAACATGTGATAGAACCAGAAAAATGGGTTATCCCGGGAGGTAGCCTTATCTGATGAAGCCCATGCCCTTGAAGACACGCATGCCATAGCTGCAGGGCACCTAAGCACATGTCGGACCGATAATCAGAGTCATGAATATCATAGATATCTATGCCAATCGTCTGCAGCGCTGGAAAGTGCGAGATGGATTCGAGATGGGACATATGAGACTTAGCAGCGCTGATGCGCAGGTTCTTCCACCGCTGGCAGGACTGAACAAGAGGAGACAGGATTTCATTGTCCTTTGCCGACTTCCTGAAGGAGACCTGCAAATTGAGAAGATGTTCACCCGTGTGCTCGAGATAGGTCTGCAATATCTCGGGAGTGTATCTGGAGAAAGGGGCCTGCACTATAAGCTTCCGAGCCCAGGACGCTGGCGAGCTGTGCAGGGTATCTCTCCAAAGCCCACAGACACGGCCCAAAACCCAAAGAGGTCCGGATACGTTTAGGCTATGGCGTCGGTATCGGAGACTCCAATCCTCATCTGCTTTCTGCCACCAAGAATCACAAACAGAGTGGAAAATTTCGATGAGAATATCTCGGGGGAGACGACGAATGGGAGCAGAGATTGATTTGCGACTTTCGAGAGCTGTCAGGACTGCACGTCGACGCAACTGGATCTCTTCAAGCTGGGCAGTATACAAGGATTGCAGCTGTTCCAACTCGACAATTTCAGCGCTGACCAAGGCATGGTCAGAGTCGAGTAATGGTCGTTGTCCGCGTAGAATTTTCGAAACGAGGCTATCGGAACTCTGTGTATTTTTGATACGTGGCTCGAGGGGAAGGAGGTCGATGGATCCACAGTCGCGGCAGGTGAAACACGACATGAAGGGTAAAGGCAAGAGTCGCACGTGGTCTTACTCACTTTTCAACTACTGATATTTAACATTCGACTAGATACTGCTACTATTTTCCTGTTGTTATCACGGCATTCAGGCCAGCAACCCTCCATTTCTGCCTCATTCTACTCCGAAAGTCTACTTATTATCTCTCCTGAAATACATCTCACCTTGGACCATCGAAAGACCTTTCTCACGGACAGCGCTGAGGTCTGGCGACGAGAAGTATTCCTGCAGTAAAGTGGGCTTCAGTCAATAAGATAGATGGGAGTTTATAAACGGACACATACATCGCCTGCTCTTACGGGAAGGGCGGTGATAGTCTCACCGGTTTGTAGTGTGACGGGCCTGCGTAAAGGGATAGTATCGTCGCAAATCGCTATACGGTGCGTTTCCGCAGATGAGGGGTGAAAGCGAAGACTACAACGGTGAGAGTCAATGCCGACGGTAACGACTCGACACTTGGATCTATTAGCAGACCTTTCGCGTGACACAGCATCAAGGTACGGCAAGTTCTCGGTGGTCTTCCAGTCCAGTTCAGTCGCAAGGAGCTTTTCTCGGAGCCTGGTCTGGGCCTCCGTATTCCGTGCTAGCTCGAGCAGAGCGAACATTACAACTCCTGATGAAGTTTCGAAACCAGCCATTCTTCGAGGCATGTCAACAACAGCAACTTACAAGGCGGGATGAACTGTTACAGAAGAGTTGTGATCTGTTTGAGGCATTAGAACATGAAGGAAAGGAAAGCAGAAATTGACTAACATTGTCAATCAGCTGTTGATTAGATAGCTTCACTCCTGGATTTGCTTTACCTTCCCATGATTAGAGAAGATGTCTCGTCCATCAGGATTTGAGTGCTGCTTCAATAACTCGGCGGTAACTCGTTGGATCACTTTCTTCGCGAATCCATCCTCTTGGACAGCCGTGATCGGGAGCTTTGCAATCCAGGAACCATGCCGATTAACCTAGGCGCCAGGAAAGCCGGGAATGTGGCGAATTTTTGAATATCTTCACGCCACGATCCAAGGATAGCCTGTACGTCTGGATTTTCATAGCCAAAGTCACGTCCAAAACCAACTCGACACATGGTCTCAAGCCTAGGGAAAATGGGCTAGATACTGAGTGGTAGGATTTAGAGGACGTACGAGCAGGCTGGGATGTACAAACTGAGATTGAATACTCCCGCACTGATACCCTCTTGAGCTTCAAGTTCGCTTGCCAATCTGGAAGCACACTTGTCAAATCGCATTCAATACTTCGTCCACCTCGAGAAGGAGAGCGAAATCAAAACCTTTTCGGCACATTGTAAAACATCGTCAGCCATCCCCTTGACTGCAGAAAGCCTGTATGATGGAATTTCATAAGCAATCGTAGTAGAAGTGACAACTTGCGTGAAGGCAGGTACTAGGAGCCTGCGCCGGAACTTGTGGGCTTCGCCTTCTGCTCAAGCGACACCTCGACCAACATATTTGACTACTATCGGCTCGAAGGCCTTCGATTTCACTGCCGTTTAGCATGTAAGCATCCGCTGAGACACTTAAAACTTCAAAGGCGCGCATACAGTAGGTATATGCGTTCTGGATGATGGTTGGTGAGAGCTTGAGTGAGGAACGTTGGTTCGCGTACATGCCTGAAAAATATGCTGTGCTACCAGATTGTCTCCGACGATCACCTACACACGGGTTTTTGCCAATTAGCAACTCGGGCAACATTCAATGCTGGAGCGTACGCACACGATCCCCTTGAAAGAGCGCCGTTTTGATCCTGAAAACTTGTCCTAGCAGAGCTGCCTACCGCGTATACTCGGCGCTGACCTCACCCTTGAATACCTTGTATTCATGTCCCCACAGTATACTTACCTTTTCAGCGGGCTGAGATAGAGGGGAAGTTTGATCAGCTTATATGCGCGTATTTCCAGCGAAACTGGCGACTCACAGCGACGGGAAATATACTAACTACCGAACGCCTTTGAGAAATCGTTGAAGAAGGAGAGCAGCAGCGAGAAGAGCGACGCCTGCAGAAAGAATGATGCACATGGCCGTCACTGAAGGAAAGGGCCAATGGGATTAGCGTAGATGATAACCGTACTGCCATGCCCTGAGAAAACAAAAAGACAGTTTGAATGGTTTAACTTGATTGGATTCCGCCATCGTTGATACACAACTCCTGCAATGTGTACTGTGCGGCGTGCGCCGCAGGCATAGAACTGGGGAAGCGGGAATGTCAGTGTTCACCGCCATCCCCCGTGCCAGTCAAAGCTGGGTTGCGCTTTGATATTGACTAACCCTTCTGTGTGCCTATACGCAGCACGAGGATGGAAAGAATAGTAGTCGACACCATTGAAGGTTTTCTTTCGTTGATTTGAACGCTATTACTGGAAAGACTTTGCTCGAACACAGTGACAGCATCGCTTGGTATACAAAATGAAGACGAATTACTCAATATGTGGATGAACAAGAGAAATGTGTAACGGAAGCGTTGCAGCCTCACCATCGACGAATGGCTGAAGCGAAGGCGACATCATCTTATAGATTTTGACACTCGAATCTTTGAACTCGAACGCCCTGATCATAATAGCAAGAACGATCTTAATCTGCATCACAGCTGACGAAATGATGAGAAGTATTCCACAAAACGGGAGAAGACCCAACACACCTAAGCGCCATCCGATGCATGCATGAGGACCATCACCAAAGGTGGAGACATTAGTCCAAGGTCCATGTGGAAGGTCCTTTGAGGGTGGTACCCCATCCGGTGTCATCCACCGCTCAGGAATGAATTCGTGAGCGTTGGGACCCCATATCGCCGGATTAGTGTTCAAAAGTGTAAATGGAATCGTGAATTGCTGCAAAAAAAAAAAACAAATCTTGTTGAGACCTCGAACAATGTTTAAGTTTACAAACTCACGTCGCCGGCCTTGACAGGAAGGGCAGTAATAATCTCGCCATTTTGAAGTGTGACGGGATTGCGCAAAGGGATAGTATCATCGCACATCGCTGTGCGACAAGTTTCCGCAGTGGAAGGATG